CCAGGCATCTAGATAGACACCATAGCACAAGGCTTAACGGTGGTAACACATAGGCTTAAGCTGGCTCCAATATGAGTGCCATTCATGCCCGAGAAGAGAGCAGGTTTGGGGGTAATAGTTGCTTCCGCGAGAAGAAATTAGGAAGGATGCTGGGCCGGGCTCGAGGAAGGAACAATGTGGGAAGCAGCTGGTGTTTGAGAACAGGTGCCAGGCGGTCTGGGTTCAAGTTTCAGTTGTATCACTGCCTGGATATGTGACTTTGGGCACATTTTCTAACTGCTTTATTTCATCATTTTTTTTTTCATCTATAAAATGAAGATGTTAGTGATAGTTAGAGGCTCCCTCAGTTGGTCCCTGAAAGGCCTAAATGATACAACACAGGTAAAGAGCTTACCACAGTACCTGACTTGCCACGTATTAGCGGTCTTAATGGTATCGATGACCATTATGAACTAGAATCATTTGGAAACACTGCAGATCAGAGCAGCAGGCAGAGAGGAACACTTTATTAAGTGCTTCAGTTAGAGTGACTCGTTCTAAGCCTGGTAAGAACCATGAGAGGTAAGAAGTACCATGATACCCATTTCATAAATGAGGATAAAGAAGCTCCATGGGAGCAAAGCGCAGCCTACAGCCCCGTATCTAGCAGGTCGCGAAGCCAGTATTGAGCACGGTCTTGTCTGGAGCTAAGCCTGTGCTCTCTCCACCACATTCTGCTGATATCCATGGGCAGGTTGAGATACATAGAGATTGGTATCCCCACCTTACGTAAAAATGAAAACAACTGAAAACCACAAAACAAAAGTAAGAAAGGCCAACAGCTGTTTCTCAGATGATTACAATTTAAAAAAAAACTCTCTCTCTCTCTCTCTCTCAAACACTCTTCAAACAATCTGTTCAGTCTTCTGTTTTGGTGCCATAAGCACATGCCTGGTTGGCTTATCCAGTGTCCAAAGATGCAGCATCTATTATGAGGCAGTGTCCTGAGGCCTCCTGCCCCGGCCTCTCTAACTTCAAAAGAAGTGGGCCGTGGTGTGGCCAGTGGAAAATTGCACAAGTTTTAGGAAGTGCTATACAAATGCATTAATAATCACAAATTATTATTCGTGGCACGGATGCTGCCAATATAAATAACAATGGCAGCCATTTTCTATGCTCACGTGCCAGGTACTTCACAAACACTTTTCTCATTTAATTCCCACAACGGCTCTGACTATTTTACCCGCAAGGAAACTATTTCTGGAAAGTTAGTTATGTCCCAAAGGACATAGAGTTAGTGTCAGACCTGAGATTAGAATGTCTCTGTCAGATTCCTAAACTCTTCCCTTACACAGAGCCGTTTGAGGTCATGCGCTGAGTGAGTGATAGCACAAGGACTGGGCTAAGTAGGGTCACGGGTCTTTCCACATATCTCCCCCCTTCTCGAAGGGTCATCCACAAACGCTGTCCTATAAGCAGGGGTTAATGGGATCCTCTCAAACAGTCCACCTCAAATGCATTTTATGTTTTATGGCATCCATATTTTGTACTCATAAGGAGTTGGATGGTTATGAGGAGGTGGCATATATGGCCTGAAGGGAGTTTCAAAGAAATTGAATTGCTTTCTGTATTTAGGAATAGCTCTATGCCTTTAAAAGCTGTGGTCTCAGGAATAATACCTATCAGAAAATAGTGCAAATCAGAAAACATCCTTCTCTGCCACAACTCGGTATGAATGTTACTATCAGCACAGGGTAGCAGGGAGGAGGTGGGTTCTGGGAAGCAAATTACCAGGGCTTGGAACTACTGTCCCACCTGCTAGACGTGTGCAACCTTGGGTGAGTACTTATCAGGATGTAGTAATAATGCTTATCTCCTATTTGTTGTGAGTGGTAAATCAGATAATGTATGCCGAGTTATTTAGTACAGTGAAGTACATACGAAGGATTCAAAAGATACCATCACCATCACTTACATAATGGCATTCCCTTAATTTCACTGCCTTATGTATTAAGCCAGCTAACGTTTTATTGAATTTATCTGAAGTGTGATAATATGATGCCCTCAGGTAAGGGTTATGGTCTTTTTAATAAAAGCAATTGAGAAAAAACCAACTAAAGAGTGTTAAATTAATAAACAGCCCATTTTATCCAAAACAACCAGCTCTTACCCCATGAAATAGGAAGGAGGCAGAAAACCTCTTCATTGGTGGTAGGGTTTTAATATTATTAGTGGAGATTGCTGAACTGAATAGACTAGCTTTTATCTATGTATTTGCCTCTCCACGCATCCCTTCACTTGTCCATTCAAAAAACACTTAGGGAGTACCCTTTTCAGGGAACTGAGCTAAGTACCTGAGGTCACCGTAGTTACTCAACAGGAAAAAGTGTGAGTGGCAAAGTGTTGACTTTCCCAGGGAAGCTGGGACAATATGAACATTCTTGCAAGGCTAGTCAAAGCCCCTGACAAGCAAGACATAATTCCAGAGGGGCTCTGATGCCAAGCCATTTAGCCCTATGCCCAAAAAGGTTAGTCACTAAGATTTAGAGTGAAGGACAGGCACTAGGTTTTTAATTCAAGGTAGTATATAAGATCCAGAATAGGGTAAATTATAACTAAGGAAGAATTAATTAAGCATTAGTGAGGAAGGCACCGAAATGTATGCACTGGTATCTTTAAAAGTTAGCCCAAAATATTTGCTTTATTAATACTGTATTTCCAAAAATATATGTACACGTTTTATAATATATATGTCATATGTGTGTATATATAGGAGTTATTAAAATATAACGTACATACATAAAAATGTACACATCGTAACTGTGCAGTTTGAAGAATTACCACGATTTCATCCCACGTAATTACCACCCACACCAAGAACTAGGACTTTATTATCCCCCAGAAGTCCCCTCATGCTCCTAATGGCTACCCCCTCTTCCCCTGCCTTTCTAATAGCAGAGAATCATTTGCCTGTTTTTGAACTATATATACATGGAATTATACAGAATGTACTGTTTTGTGTCTGGCTCTGTCACTCTACATTATGTTTCTCGTATGGACATGTACTCCCTCTCCTCAGTCACCGGGAAATAGAAATTAAAGCCACAACAAGATTCCACAATATCGAGTGTTGGTGAGGACACGGAGCACCGGATCTCTCATACACCTCTGGTGAAGAGTAAATTGGTAAATCGTTTTGGAAAACTGAATGACGGTATCTACTAAAAGCTATTTTTTGCCTTCTTTGACATACTCTTTTCCAAAGTGCTTAGTTTTAAGATTTTAGGAAAAAGAATTAAGACAGCAAACAAAGCAGAGAGAGGGACGTTAAAAAAGATAAAAGCCAAAATTAATAGGAAAACAATCAGAGAAAGTAAAAATCAAACGTAGACCTGGTTCTTTTCAAAACTACTGTTGACCTCATAAACCTGCTTTAAGAGGAGACACACACACACACACACACACACACACACACACACACACACACACACACAGAGTGCCCAAGATTAGGAATAGGTAAAGAGATAACATAAGAAAGAAAATGAATTATAAAGGGATATTAGCATGAAACAGGCAAGTACACTCAGAAACAGATCCATACACATTTAGATACTTGATTTCTGATAAAAATGGCACCTGATGAGCAGTGGGGGAAGGGCAGTGGTTTTAAAAATGGCGCTAGGTCAACTGGAGAGCCACGTGGAACATGTGAATCTTGACCACTATCTTGCACCATACCCAAAATTACTTCTGGATGCTTAATAGATATAAATGTGAAAGGTAAAACAATAAGGCTTCTGTAAGATAACCTAGAAAAACATCTTCATAACCTTGGGATAGACAAACACTTCTTAACCAAATAGGTTATAAAAAGCTCTAGTATAACGGAAAAGATGGATAAAATGGACTAGATTGAAATTAAGAGCTTCTGCTCATTGAAAGACATCACTAAGAGAGTGAAAAAGCCATAGAGTAGAAGAGACTTTACAATGCATATAACCAAACTGCATCCAAAACATATAAAGAATTCCTACAAATCAAAAAGAGAAAGACAGATAATCCAATTGAAAAATGGATGAAAGACAAAATAACTTTTTTTTAAAGATTTCATTTTTTAAAGTAATCTCTACACCCAGCGTGGGGCTCAAACTTACCACCCCGAGATCAAGAGTCACGAGCCAACCAGGTGCCCCGAAATACCTATTTTTGATAAAGAAAGTGAGGAAGGGGGCTAATGCCTTTTCGAGGCAAACACATCTACCATGTGTTTTCTTCATTTAGGCCTTGTGACCACGATTTGGTGGCAGCACACCCACGCCAGGGGAGAGGGACAGAGAGAAAAGGCAGCTGGAACTATAAAAACTAAAGTCGCAAAGGGACAGCTTTGGCCACGGGCTAAGTTAAAATAGAAATGTTGGCTGGAGTCAGGCGGTTTAAGGGAAATGGAGCAGACATGTTTGCCTCAGAGAAGACAGCTGCTGGCCTACCTCACTCAATGTCTTACTTAAGGTGCCTCCACAACAGATGCTTCCAAGACGTGGTCCACACAGAAGAGGAAAGACAAGACTCTTCCTGCAACTGACATCAGCTGTGCTCGGAGACTCACCCTCCACGTATAGTGGCACCTGTTCCCTCCACTGGTCACAACCAGTATTCTCTTTCCCTAAGACCCCAGTGTGCAAAGACCTCATATGCTTGAACACTTCAGCAGAAGCTTCACTGAGCAGGAGTCCCCCAGGCCAAGCCCTGGTAGAGTGGCTCAGCCACAGCCCTTTCCCTTGGACGCCCGTTTGGTTCTCTCAACTACCTGGTGACACGGACATTATCTCCCGGCCCTATACCTGAGGAAACCGAGGCCCAGGGGGGTGGAAAGACTAAGGCGAAGAGAGCAGAGCCAATAAGCAGAAGAACCAGTGTTCTACTCTGAGATTTTTCTGCACTCTTTCCATTTGGCCCCATGGAGTGGTCAGGCCGGAACGGCGAGGGGTGAGTGGGTCACGGTACCGCGAGAAATCACATACCTGAAATACCAAAACCGATGATAAGGGCAATGGCTCCAGCCAAAATAATGATGATGCTAATAATGCTATGGAGAGATAGAGAAACAGGAAATTACTCTTCATTTCACTTGACATGCTGCCTAGCGACCGGGGTTCGCGTGTGTCGTTTGTCGGAGGTGCTACTGAAAGCATCTTGACCTCTGTCCGCACCGTAAACCCTTTCCTAGAAAGAGGTGCCTTAGGCAGGGATCTCAACAATCCCCATCTCCCCGGGTGCTGGGAGAGATGAAAGGAGTGACCCCTTTATCTGACGTCGTGTATCATCTCACTGTCCTATTTCCAGATCGGGAAAGACCCCGTACAAAGACGGCTGGGGCAAAACTGATGACATCTCTGGAGTGCTAGGTGCGACTTGAGGGGGACGGGTCCCCTACTCAGCCCACACGGAGCATCAATGCCCATCATGGATCTACCTGTCTTGTCTCCTTCCATAGACTTCACACTACACTAAGGACAATGGTCATGCCTGTACCCACTCGTCCCTAGTTCCCCGAACCCTGTAGATCCTCAGTGGGAGTTTGTTTTCTCTTATTAAGAAAGTAATACAGGGGGACGCCTGGGTGGCTCAGTCGTTAAGCGTCTGCCTTCGGCTCAGGTCATGATCCCGGGGTCCTGGGATTGAGCCCCACATCGGGCTCCCTGCTCCGTGGGGAGCCTGCTTCTCCCTTTCCCTCTGCCGCTCCCCTCTGCTGTGCTCTCTCTCTGTGTCAAATAAATAAAATCTTAAAAAAAAGTAATACGTATTTCTTACAGAAAGTTTAGAAACTACAAATAAGTTTAAAAAAGGACAATAAAATAACCTGCAATTCCATCACCCAGACACAACCGTGGTTAGCTTCTTGAGATGGATCCCTGCCCTTCTTCAGTGAACAGATTAACAAATGACATTTGGGGAAAAAAATAAGGAAGTACTGTTTACATTTGCTGAGTGCTAGAATCACTTGGCAGACATGTTCTAGGCACCATTTATGGATTATATCATTTATCTATTCAATAATCTTACGAGGTAAACACATTTATCATCCGCATTTTACAGATGAGGAAATGACACAGGGAGATTAAGCATCTTCCCTCGGTGCACACTGTTGGTCAGTGGCCGAGCTGGGAATGGAATCTGTCTCTGGAATCTGCACTCGTCTACTCCCCACAGCCTCCTCGAGGGGCGCCAGCTTTAGCTGCTGAGAGTGACTCAGGTGGAACAGAAGGCCCAGGTCGGCGCTGGTGTGTTGGCAGAGCGGCTCCTGGGAAGCTAGCCCATTGCTGCCCGCCCTTGTGCACAAAGTCATCAGGCAGGTGTCCTGGGCCACACTCTCTCCCTGCTGGCAATTCACACAGTCCCCACGCCCACACTGATGTTACTCAAGAGCAGGACAAAAGAGAGGCACAGGGAGGCAAAGAATGGTGCCACAGAGAGAACAGGGAAGCGGGACGTTTGCCTTTCTGCCCTGAATAGGCTCATTGTACCCAGCTCCCCTTGGCTCAGGGATGGGCCCACCGGACAGAAACAACAGACGTACAAGAAACCATTTGAGTCAACAGTTTCCCTGGAGGTCAGGCCCTCGTGAGGTGCAGCTGTAGGGGCAGCAAGTGAATAAGCCAAATGATGCTTCTAATAATTGGGTATCTGCCACTGATTCTAAGAGGAGACCACATTTGACCACTTCCCCCTCTCTCTACGCCTCGGGACAGCCTTGGTTCTCACTGCTCCAAGTGTGGCAGAACAGCTACACAATCTCAGCAAGAGGCACGGACTGCTGAGCCAGAGAGCGGACTTGACTTTGGGACCCGGGGTCTCACTTACCTTCCATTACTTCATGTCTCTGAGACTCGGTTTCTTTATCTTTAAAATGGGAATAAGAGTAATTTCTGCTTTACCTGCTCTAAGGGTGTTAGGGGTTGTGTCCGCCCCCGCCCCCCAAAATTTACATTTTGAGGTCCAAACCCTGAGTCCTTCAGAATGTCCCTTGATTTGGAAATAGGATCTTTGTAGATGTAATTCGTTCGATGAGGTCATACCGGAGTAGGGTGAACCCCGAGTCCAATAAGACTGGTGGCCTTATAAAAAGCGGAAATTTAGCCACAGACATGCACACACACCCAGGGAAAACACTACATGAAGATGAAAGCAGAGGTTATACGCCCAGGAACATCAAAGATGGAGCACAAACCACCAGGAGCTGGCGGGGAGGCCTGGAGCAGACTCCCCCTCGCCCTCCGAAGGAAGTGACCCTGCCGACGAGGGGAGTGCTCGGCCGGCCCTGGAGCTGTGCGAGAGCACATTTCTTCTGGTTAGGCCACCCAGTCAGTGGCTCTTTGTTACAGCGCCTGGCCCAGCAAACGAATATAAAAGGGTTGTTTTCAGATCAGAGTAGATAGCGGTGGGCGGCATAATCCATAAAGGGCCATTCACATATTGCTTTTACCATAAAAAAGTTTACCTGCAGCTCTTTGTTGTACCTTTGTTATTAAAAGCTATGACTTGGGGCGTCTGGGTGGCTCAGTCGTTAAGCCTCTGCCTTCGGCTCAGGTCATGATCCCAGGGCCCAGGGAGCCTGTTTCTCCCTCTGCCTCCCACTCCTCCTGCTTGCGCTCTCTCTCTCTCTCTCTCTCTCTCTCTGACAGATAAATAAATAAAATCTTAAAGAAAAAAAGAAAAGCTATGACTTAATCCCGGGGACTAGCCCAACTGGTAATAATAGCAACATTATAGTATTTTGATACATGAACAATACCATGCACCGGGCTCCGGGCTGGTGTCCAACGAGCATTTTCTCCTTTATCGAGTCCTGCTGAGCAGCTCCTTCATTTCTCTCACACCTCTTCATTTCTGTCTTCACTGTCCCCGGTCACCACTGCGTCTCCCCAGCATCTTTCCAGTGCCCTCCTCACAGTTGCCCCTGTTTGCAGTCTGGGCTTTCCATACAGGAGCGGCCGAGGGGAGACAACCCCGTGGCAAGCGGGAGCTGGGGTGATGAGGGGGACAGTAGACATGCTGAGGTCCCGAGCGTGGCTCCTGGACCGAGCCCGCGTGGGTTCGAGCCCCGGCGCCACCGCCTCTAGATGTGTGACTTCAAGTTCCCGTTCCTTCTTGTTCGGATTAAATGAGTTACCGCGGCGTTACCACGAGTTAGGTGATTTGTAAAATCACTTCGAATAGTGCATGGCACCCGGGAAGCTTCAGTAAATCCTAGCTATTCGGTTCTTATTTTTCTGCTGCGGTGATGTAACCAAACTGCTTCCTGGTTAGAATGTATGTTTCCCTGGTGGTGCCCGTGGGAGCCGGTGTGGGGGTGAGCCCCGCGGCTCAGCTACTGAACTCTTCGTAAGAATGATTGCCAGACTGTGATGGAGTCATCATAGTCCTCTGCTTCAAACTTTGAGCACCCGTCATCTCCCCCATGGGAGATTCACTCTTTGGTGGGGCCCACATGACCTTTCAAAGGGGGTACCTTGCCTTCTCCCCAGTCTTTGCCTCTCCGCACATTTCCCCTCCAAGCATTGCAGACGCCCCCTCCCTCGGCCACAGGCCCTCCCTTATGCCTTCCTAGGCCCTCTCTCAGGAAAAGCAAAGACACGGAACGGATACACCCGGCCGCTCACCGACAGGAAGGGGACAGTGGGGCTTGTGTGTACCCATCAGAGTGGCCGAGCCCAGCTCCGTCACCCACAGACCCACACGTTCCTCCAGTTGTGGCAGCAGAACCCTCCTGGCTATCAGCGATTTCTCTAAGCGGCCGTCACCTCGAGGTTTGCTGCGGAGCTGCTGATCCCTTGGGAAATAGCTCACCCTCCAGAGCCTCGGAGAGAGAAGCAGGAACTCTCAGAGCAGACAAATTACCTAGTTCCGGCCTGCTGCTTATGAATTTTTTAAAAAGTTGAATGAAATAGTCACATAAGGTGTTCTTACATCGCTTTTTGGTTTTTACTTTTCCAGCATAATTTCCGATAATGATGCTGCAGGAAATTTTTAATGCAAAGCTGTCTTTTAACCACTGCATTGGAATTCACATTGCACGTTTATTAGACACTCCTTACAAAGGGGCCCAGATGAAAACTAATGCTTTTGGAGGATTTGTTCATTTAGGAAACACTTATTAAGTATTTACTGTGTGGAAGATATTGCTGGGAGGACATTGTAGAGATGAAGTGCCTGCCCTCGAGGAGACTTTCTTATTTAAAGACTTTATTTATTGGAGAGAGAGAAAGAGAGAGAGGGAATGAGCAGGGGGGAGGGGCAGAGGGAGAGGGAGAAGCTGACTCCCTACCGAGCCAAGAACCTGACGTGGGACTCGACCCCAGGACCCCGGGACCATGACCTGAGCCGAAGGCAGACGCTTAACCGACTGAGCCACCCAGGCACCACCCCCTCAAGGAGCTTATAGTGTAACTGAGGTAAAACACACACACATGCACATACAACACACACAGACACACACACACTGTAATAACACAAGACACGTGTGGTCAGGGCTTCAGTAAAGAGAGGAACAAATTCTCACAGGAATTCTAGGGAGTAGGGTGTATTTTAAGTCTCAGAGAAACAGGGAGAATCAAAGTGTATTTCCATGAACAGATTTCAAATAAAGTAAAGAGAAAGGCTTCACTGAGAAATATATTCGGCCAATTCATGCGGCTACATGCTCTCTAAGGCAGAAACCCAAAGAAAAGTGGCATTTCTGCTGCATGGACAGGATCAGGACCCAAGCATCATGCTCAGGGCTCTGGGCTGGGAGAAGGGGCTTTCAAGGGCTGCAGGACTCAGAGCCTTGCAGGGGACAGACTTGGATTCTGCCAAACATGTAGTATGGACTACCCGAGGATGGTAGTTCTCTCACATGGCTTTTTGCTTCTGCTGCCACTGCCTTGAAAGAAATTAGGCGTTTCTGGGAAGACATGGTATGTGTGTTCCAGAAAAGCCGCACACTGTACCAAATCACACAACACAGGAGCAAGGCTTATGGGGAAAAACAGGGTTAGGGGCAGACCACTCACAACCCAGGTGACTTCGTAATTGATCTACTAACAG